GCAGAGTATATAATAAATGTGTTGGTGCCAATAGTACTTACTTCAGTTCTTTGCTGAGAACTAAATTAATCCTGTTTTTTAAAGGTCGACTCTTCTCAGGAATAGAGAACCAGGTCTTCTTCCCCATTATTAACAGATTCTGTTTACCTGTAAATCAAATAGAAAACATAAGAGTCCATTATGGTAATTAAATATACAAAGTTATTAGAGTGACATCTAGTGGATCCCCTTTTCGCACAGTTTTGTTGATGAAGAATGCTTTAAAACAAAAGTTAAAATTTCCCTCCCTCTCAAACTACTTTGTCTATCTACTACGAAATATGAGATTCAGAGCTTTCCCTAGCCCCCTTCTTCCAAAGTCCTGACTTTAAGTCAGAAGGACATCACTGATAATGAGATTGCATTGACTCTCCTTATCCTGATCAAACCCCAACCCTACCCTGCAAGTAATTTAATCTAAGGTAGGGGTACCCCCATTGTATTCTGCTCAGACTTGGGTGGAGACAGATTCTTCTGTCTAGAAAGCCCAAGACTGGAAGTGGTCTGGGATGGTTGGGGGTAGTCTGTCCAGAGGTAAAAAATGATGATGGGGTGATATCACCCCTGTGCACCCTATATAAACTGTGTGTGCTAACCCCCAAAAGAGCTCAGCTCCAACACTGCAGCTCCCATGCATATGCATGCCCCCGCTTTGAGAGAGATAAACAATGGACTGTACAACTAATTCCATGTTTTTCTTAGAAGAAATGGTGTGAGGCTGATGCTATCTATCTACTCACTTTATATTTATGTTGTACCTATTTTCATATATATGTATATATATATATATATATATATATATATATGTATGTATGTATATGTTAAATCCCCTATTAGAGTGTAAGCTTATTTTGAGTAGAGATTGTTTCACTTTCTGTATTTTATTCCCAGTGCCTAGAAAAGTGATTGGCATCTAGTAAGTGTTTAATAAATGCTTGTTGAATGATTTGAAAAATGCCCTTGCTGTTTTTTTTTTTAAATTTGTTATAAAAGATGGGTCTTGTAAAGTAAAAGAAGAGAGAGACTGGAGGAGTTTGGGTAATGGAAACAATAATCTCAATACATTTTTATTTTTAAAGGAATAAAGCATGCAATCTAGGTGGCATAGGTAAGACTAGACAGTTGGGAAAAGACTTAAGACTTTTAAAAGACTTCAACATGATGGAATGTAAGCTTGAGAGTAGAAATTACACACACACACACACACACACACACACACACTCTAGCCTCTGCATCTACCATAGTGCAGAGAACATAGTAAACATTTAATAAATGCTTATTGATTGATCAAAAAAACCCCTGCAAAACTGACTAATACATAAAAATACATTATATTTAATACTTCACACCCATGGAAATCCCTCTACCTCTGCTTCCACACCTACAAAGGAGTAGGGAAAAAGTCTTCTTATGCATCTTCTTTGTAATTTTGCAACATTAATTTTTCATCTTGTGGCAGATACAAAATGGAAACATTTACATTGATGTCGTCTTTGTATATATTGTTTTTCTGGCTCTGCTTACTTCACTTTTCATTACTCTGTATTTATGTTTTTTTTTATAGCACAGTAATACTTCATACAATATACTGCACACTGTTTATTACTCAATTGATAGATATTTGCTCTGTTTACAATTCTTTGCTCATACAAAAAAGTATACTGAGCCTTTCTGTTTTAATCAATGACTTTCTTGGGGTATTTGTCTAGCAGTGCAATCTCCGGGTCATAAGGTATGGATATTTTAGTCACTTGATTCCAAATTGTTTTCTAGAATGGTGGTCCCAATTCCCAGCTTCACTAACAATGCTTTAAAATATGCCAGTCTTTTCAGACATTTTGTTATCTCAGTCAGTTAGCTGGGTTTGAAGTGAAACCCAGGGCTGTTTTGATTTGCATTTCTCTTATTATTAGTGATCTGGAGCATTCTTTCATACGTTAATAGTTTGCAGTTCTTCAGAGGACTATTTGTTGTTTGTGACCAAGGACAACTAGCTTATCATTTGGGGAGGTTTGGTCCTGCATATCTGTTAGTAGTCTACACAGCTGGGATATCAAATTCTTATCAGAGAAACTTGATATAAAGCTTTTTTCCTCTAGTCAATTGCTTTCCCTTCTTAGCCTACACAGATTAATTTTACTTATGCAATAGCTTTTCAATTTCAGGTAATCAAAATTATCTATTTGATCTTTGGTAATTACCTCTATCTCTCTGGTTAAAAATTATTTTCCTACCCATAGCTATGAACAGAAGATGATCTGTTTCTCCTCTAATTCTTTTATGGGATCTTCAAGTCATATCTCAATTTTGAATACATTGTGGAATATGGTAGAAGATCTTGGTTTACTTCTAATTAAACTTAATGTCTTAAAACAGAACTCATTATCTTTCCCCCCCAAACCTATTACAGTAGAGGGTACCCACCATCCTCTCAGTCATCCTGGCTCACAATCTAGATGATATCTCAATTCCTCCCTCTCACACCCCACCCCCATATCCAATTTGTGGCCCAGACTTGTGGACTTCACCACAACTTGGTTCCCTCCCACCTTTCTAGTCTTCTTACCAAACTACTTGGCTCGCCTCCTCCCCCTCACTTTGTAATCTAGTGATAGTGGCCTAGAACTAAGCCATTCTATTTCCAGACACCATGCATTTGTACTGATGATCCTGAATTCTCCCTCCTCATCTTAGTTCCCTGGCTTTCTTCAGCTAAAATTCTACCTTCTGCAAGAAGCCTTTTCCAGTCCCCCTCTGAGATCACTTCCCATTTACATTGTGTGTATATTTTGTAGGTACATAGCTCAAATGTGGTCTCCTGTATTAAACTGATCCCTCTGAGGGCAAGGGACTGTTTCTGTCTTTGTTCATATCTCCAGTGCACAGTGCAACAAGCACACATAAATGCTTGTTGACTGAGAGGAGGGCAGGGAAGTGTGTCAAAAGTAACTCCAAAGATTTATTTATAGACTATCTACTGAAATAGGAAACATTGCTAAGTACAGTAGAGAGATACAAGAACTCAGAAAGCTGGGGAATGTCACAGTAATTAGAAGAGTACAGATAGGGATAGATTCCAAGTCAATTCTCATTTGGAGCCAAGAACTCTTGACACTCATCTTTCACTCCTTCAATCTGATTATGTCCTCGGAAAAATTTTAATGACCCTGTCTCCACACTCTCTACATGATAATTAGCTAATTTCTTAGCCTGAGATTCAAGGCCTTTTATAACTGTCCCGGCTTAACCCCTTTATGTGCCCTAGGCACCAGCCAAATTGGACTCCTTCCTTTTCCAGCACTTGTTCCCTAATCTCCCCAAGTCCATACCTCTGCAGATATGGTTCTGTCTCTGAGCAAAAGCAAAGAGCCAGGAATTAACATGAGTGTTTGTTTGCAGGTCAATGTACAGGATCATTCAAAGCCCAGGCTGTGGTACTTCCTCCATGAAGCATGATATCCTTTTATTTTCCTTATGCCACAAAGATAAACCTATAAAACATTCCATCTCCAAACTCTGGGCATTTCATTGTTGTTTCCCCATGACTGGACTCATCCCCCTCCTCATTTCTACCACCTGGCTTCTTTCAAATCCCAGCTAAAATCTCACCTTTCTCAATTCTCTTTAATTCTAATGGTTTGCCTCTGTTGATTATTTTCAATTTATCCTGGACACGGCTTATTTGTACACAGCTGTTTGCATGTTATTTCCTCCATGAGACTGTGAACACTTTGAGAGCAGGTTTGTCTTTTACATTTTTTTTGTATCCCCTGTACTTAGCACAGTACCTGGAACACAACAGGCACTTAATAAATGTTTATTGACTGACTGAAGCCTGCTTTATGTTCCCTATTAGATTATAGCCCCCAACACCTGGCATAGCACCGTACATCCATCAGGAATCAGATAAGTGTTGTTTTGATCAAAGGAATGAAAGTATCTGGCAGTAATAATAAACTTCAGGGAGGATTATGACAGTGGCCAGTTTACCTTTGTAGCAATTTAAGTAGAACACGTTCTCATTAATCTAATTATTGATGTTAATCGTCTAGAGGAAAAGGAAGAAATGGATATATAAAGAAACACAGTAAGATAACAAGGAATAAAGAAATCACAGCTAAATACAAAAAACTGAGAGAATAGTACTTTTGAAAAATGACCCAGTGCTTTTTAAAATGGACAAAGACTTCAATATTACAAAATCCTTGGGAAAATATGCTAACTCTATCCTGGTAGAAAGATAGAGGAAATAAAATGTTTTCTAGGAGCTTTCTTTAGTACTTTTCTAATGTTGAGGGGTGTACCAAGTCAACAAAAAATTTTATTTTCCTCTGTTCCTAAGCAATTTTGCTGTTTTTAATATGACCTATTTATTTACATGAACAGTAAATCTTTCATTTGTAGTTTTGGAGGGGAAGATGCATTACATTTCTACCAATGGTGCAAGAATATGTACAAATCAAAGTATCCATAAAGAAAAGAAAATTGAATAATTCAAGGAAAAAAGTTCTTTTTTGTTTAAATCTGGTCTGTTGACCACTTTGAGCAAGATGGCTCTTGTGCACATTACCACAGGGTCCATAGTTCAGTCTCTTGTATTAAAATAAAAGTGCAAGGTTACCTTCTACTGAAGTAGTTGTAGTCATTTTCTGGAAGTACTTGAATTCATTCCTAATAACAGGAGAGACACAGGATTAGGTAACATCAACAGTAGAACGCATGCTGATGGACTTTGCTTAGGGGACTCCAGTTGGTTCTCTGCACTGTCAAGCCCTCTGAACTTAGTTCTGGCCAGATGACCTGACCTTCATAACGGGACTGTGCACTTTACCCCCAGGTGCATTTGCAGCCTCCGCCCCACCCCCCACCCTTGTCCCTCCTTCCCCGGTCCCTAAAGGTGAGCCCAAGGGGAATTGGAACGAGCCCATTTTACAAAGCCTGTTTCACCATCCTTTTAACAGCCCCATCTCTCAGAAGATGTCTCCCAAGCCCCACCTCGGGTCAAAACGGGGGCTGCCTCTGGAGCGCCTACCATGTGCCAGGTATTTTGCTAAGCGCTTGGGATGCAAAAGAGAGGCAAAGCCAGTTCCATCCCTCAAGGAGCTAACAATCGAATGGCTCCGCATGCATTAAGCCCCAGCTCCCGACTCTGCCCAGGTCGGGTAAGCGAGGTACCTGAGCGGAGGCCAGGGCAGGTCCCCGTTCTTCCCTATGCCCATGTTCTGGGACACAGCGACGATGCAGTTGATCATAGGGGCCATGTCTGCAGGCAATGGGTTTCTGCAACGCCAACGGAGCAACTGCTCTTTTCCCGCGCAGCCAGAGAATAATTGAAGAGCCCGCGCAAGACGCTTATTGGAGAAGATAGGCACGGGGTCCCATCGAGCCCGCCCTGCCCTCGCGGCGCGGGCGGGCCATGACGTCGTTGCCGCGCCAGCAGAGGCCTGAGATTGAGCCGGGCCGGGAGCGCTCACTCCGGGGTTGGCGGGGCGGGGCGCCGCACTCCGCGTCTCGTGCGTGCCCGCCGCCCGCCTGCCCCTGATGCCGCGGCAGAAGGCGGCCTCCGGCTCGGCCGGGGCCGCCGTGCCCGCCCTGGCGGCGGCCAGGCAGGCGGTGTTGAGCCGATTCTTTAAGCCGGCGGGACACCTGAAGTCCTCCCCCCCAGACGGGGGCACCTGGGAGGCCCAGCTGTGATGCTGGAGCGCCCCCGGAGCCGCGGGAGCTGCAGGAGCCGTGGGAGCAGCAGCGGAAGGTGCGCTGTGGTCAGGAGGTGGGCGGGCACGCGCAGCTTGGGGAAGGAGGCGGGGTCTAGGCCTGGATTGGGGAGGGGTGCAGGGCAATGAGCGACGCTGCTAGGCGGGAGGGGAGGGGGAGGTGGGGGTGCAGGCCTAGGCGTTCTAGGAGGATTACTCCAGAGTTTTGGATTTGTGAATCTCCTCAGTTTGACTCCTCCTCCCTCCAGCCAGCTGTAGCACAACCCATCCCCCACCTTATCCTTAAGTTTGACTCTTCCTAACTCTTCTGGGGAGAGTGGAGGGAGGAGGGGAAGCGCAGGACTTATCCAATGTGCTGCATAATAATAATACTAATAATACTAATAATGATATTATTATTGCCGCATATGCCTTGCTGCATAGTAATAATAATGATAAGTATCATTTATATAGCACTTAATAATAATGGATGATGATAGTTATAGTTAACATTTATATAATGCTTACACGACTGATAATGATAACTAGCATTTATATAAAACTTTTTTGTTGTTCGGTCGTTTTCAGTTAGTCTTCATGACCCCATTTGAGGTTTTCTTAGCAAAGACACTGGAGTGGTTTGCCATTTCCTTCTCCAGTTCCTTTTACAGATGAGGAAACTGAGGCAAACAGGGTGAAGTGACTTGCCCAGGTGTCACACAGCTCAGTAAGTGTCTGAGGTTGGATTTGAACTCAGGAAGATGAATCTTTTCTGAATTCAGGCCCAGCACACTGGGCCCCCCAGCACTTAATAATAATAATAGATGAAGAAGAAGATGATGGTAGCTGACATTTATATAGAGCTTAATAATAGTAATTGATAATGATAGCTAATGTTTATATAGTGCTTAATAATAATATTAATGATGATGATAGCTAACATATGTAACAGTCATAATAAAAGGTAATATTTACATAGTGCCAGTTATGTGCCAGGCACTGTGGTAAGTCCTTTATAGTTATTACCTCATTTGATTCTTACAGTAACCCTGGGAGGTACGTGTTATTACAATCCCAGTTTTACAGATTAGGAAATTGAGGCCTACTGTAATTAAGTGACTTCCCCACGGTTACCAAGATCTCTTGACATTGGATGACAGTGGATCATGTCAACTATTTATTAGTTAATTTTAGCTCTAGCTGTATGGCTGACCCACATTTTTTTTCTGATGTTACACATCTCTGAGAGTATCCTCTATGTCATCTTCTCCTGTGCCATTTGTTGGCAATGTACTAAAGCCTACCCATGCTCATTGTGTGACTCACCAACATCCTCTAGGTGACGTAAAACATTTAATTCCTCAGAGACTGTGGTATTCCATGATTTCCATTTGTATGTGGTCATCTGGAGAATATTCATGTTGGAAAGAGTGACTTTTGTCTTATAGAAAAACTTGGGATTATTATAAGCATGTATAATTTTCCAGATGCATTCTGGCCCACTTTGTTCTGCCTATGCAGTTGTTGGCCTCTGCCCCTCTCATATATTCATCAAGGATTTCTTGGATATCTGTGTAGAGTATTTGTGTGCAGATGGCATAGTCTTCAGTCGATCAATCAGCAAACATTTATTAATTGCCTGCTGTGCATCAGGTACTGTGCTAGTTTCTGGGAATACAAAGCCTAGAATGAAATAGTCCCTGCACTTAGGAACCCAAGGTTACGTTCATGTCACAGCAAGTTTTGGAGTAGGAGATGGAGATGAATGCTAAGAAAAAGCTGTTAGACCTGAGAAGAGTTCTTTGAGGTTTTAGAGATAGCTGTTTCAGTAGAATGGTGGGCATGCAAAATCAGATTGCAGTGAGATGTGGAATGAGTGGGTGCCAATAAAATGGAAGTGAGCTCAAACATTTATTAAGCATCTGCTATGTTTCAAGCCACTGTGAGCTTATGTGCTGTGTACCATAGGCATGAATGCCACCACTATGGTGGAGCAGTGAAGTTAAATTGTTTGTAAAGGGCAGGAGACATCTAAGGTGAGGGTAAACTAGAGTCAAAGGAATTTTTTTTCCTAAGATAGGGGAACCTAAACATGTATTTGTGTATATGGATGGAACAGATTTAGTGGAGAGAGAGACAGATTAAAGATGGGAGAGATAGAAATTGATGGAATAGGATATAAATAAGCTCTTTGAGAAAAAGGCTTGTTTTTGTATGCCCAGTACCTATTACAATTCTGGCCTGTGGTAGGTGCTTAATAAATGCTTGTTGGTTGATTGAATAAGGTCTAGGAGGGGTTGGAATCAAGAGTTTGAAAGATAGGTTAGTAGCTTGACTTGGAGGAAGGCCACCTTGTTTTCTGAGGCTGGAAAGGAGGAGAGAAAAAATGAAAACTTAGAGAGCTCCTTATATGTGGAGGAGTATAGTAAAGTAGGATAATAGGTTGACAGAGAGGGTGGCTTAAGAAAAAAGCTTGGAGTAACTTCTACAGGCTGTGCAACAAGGAATCAGTGAGAGAGATGGATGAAACCATTATGGTGGAGCAGTGAGATCTCATTTGAAGTTAAATTGTGTGAGTGCAAGGGACCAGTTGGTATATTTTTGTTATGATTTCCTCTTAACAGAAGTTTTCTAACAGTTAACATTGCCCCAGAGTGAAATGGGTTGCTTTGGGAGGTAATGGGTTCCTCCCCCCTGGAGGTTTTCAAGGGGAGGCTGGAGAGGACCACTTGTTAATGTGTTGTAGAAAGGATGGGTTGGACTACATGCCCTCTGAGGCCTTTTCCAATACTGATATTTTTTTGTTTCTGTGATTTATGAATAGTTTAGCCAAAGTGATGGACATGGCCTGGTGCTATGGATTAACAGAGCAAATACAGAAGAAGAATAAGGAGGCAGAGGATTCAAGAGTGGACAGCACACTACTGAAATGTCAGGACTGTGAGGGGAGGAAATGTAGCCAAATAAATGATGATGAATTGGGAGAAGAGGGAAGGAGCAAGTGACAGGAAGTCATGATCAAGGTGAAAACCAGTTTTATGAGAAGCAAGTTTGTGGGGAAAGGTGGAAACAGAAGATTGTGATTACCTACTCTGTTACCTCTTTGTGACAAGAGCACCATCAGCCTTCCATTTACCCAGGTCTTCAGCTTTGGAGTTACCCTTGACTCTCCCCAATTCCTTCATTGTCATTTAGTGCCAATTCTTGTCGATTTTGATTCCACAACATATGCTCCATCCATTCCTTTCTTGATAGCCACGTGGTCAGCATCCTAGTTGAGACCCTTATCACCTCTCATGTAGGCTATTTCAATTGGTCTCCTTACTTCTGATCTTTTTCCTCTCCAATCTACCTTTCAAACAACCACCAAATTGATATTCCTTTTTTATTTTTGAAAGACTGTCTCCCCATCTTGCCTAGTAGCCACCCAAGAGCATCATCCCCCTCCTCATTAGCATGGAAGGTTTGAACTGCAAGATTTTCAACTTGGGCTGGTTCACCCCTCCTTAAGGCAATTTGGTAGCCCCCTGATCCCAAAGACTCATTGTATTGGTGCTGTTACCTACTTTAGGTAGGCTGTAGCCCTCTTGCATCTGAGAATTCCTGAATTCAAATCAGTCCAGTAGCCTGAGCCTCCTCAGTAGCAGGGACTGTAGGTGTGGGCCACCACACTTATCCAAACTGATATTCCCAAAGGTCAGTCCTGACCATGTCACTTCCCTGTTTGTGAGGCATCGAGGACTCCTTAATTCTTAACCTTACCTCTGTGCTGTCCTATCATGCTCTTCGTTAGACCTGCCTTATTTAAACTGATAGACAATTATTCCAACTTTGGCAAATTGGTTAGTAGCTACCTAATTATGTATAAGCTCAGAAGATAAGTATAGAACATATAAATAGGTACCAAGGTGGAGCAGTGGATAAAGAGCAGTGCCTGGTGTCGGGAATATGTCAGTTGAAATTCAGCCTCAGACACTTAATGGCTGTATGATCTTGGGTGAGTCACTTAAATGCTATTTGCCTCAGTTTCCTTATCCGTAAAATGGAGATAATAATACCTCTCAGGGTTGTTGTGAGGATCAAATGAGATAATAATTGTAAAGCACTTAGGAAAATGCCTAGCACATAGTAGGTGCTATATAAAAGCTATTATATTATTAATTGTATTTAAATGGGGATGAGTTGAGTTTTGTATGTCTCAATATGTAATATATAATAACAGCTAGAAATTATGTTGTGCTACAAAGTTTGCTAAGCACTTTAAAGATATTATTTCTTTTGATCCACAAAACAACCATGTGAGATAAGTTCTATTTATAGATGAGGAGACTGGGACTAAGTAGTTTGTACAGGGTCACACAACTCGGAAGTGTCAGAGGCAGGATTTGAAGTCAGATTTTCCAGGCTCCAAGCCCAGAGCTCCATCTGCTTTACTACCTAGGTCCACTAAATAGATGAGGAGTAAAATGGGAACCAGAATTGCCCTTTGGGAATGTCTGCTTGGGTGGGCTGCCTTGGTTCTAAATAGATATGGTGGTGGGGAACCTGCAGCCTCCAGGCCACATGTAGCCCTCTAGGTCCTCAAATGTGGCCTTTTGACTGAATCCAAACTTCACGGAACAAATCCCCAAGAAAAAAGGATTTGTTCTTTAAAACTTGGACTCATTCAAAAGGCCACACATAAGGACCTAGAAGGCCATATGTGATGTCAGGGCCACAGGTTTCCTACCCCTGACCTAGTACTTAAAGGGATGAAGTTTTCTTAAATGGTGGAGGTAAGAATATGAAGGACATTCTTTGCGTAGGGTGTGTGTGTTAGAACATCTCAGAAGTAAGATTTAAATTGCTTCGTGGTATTCAGGTTTCTCCAGGCTCTACAAGTGGAAATAATGATAAATTGTATCCTAAATTTTCATATATTAGGCCTCTGAAGTTAATGGATGTAAGAAGAGGACCCTGGAATATGATGAACCTGATCACAAGAGAGCAAAGCAGGCTCGAGGAGATGAAGGAGAAGAAAGTGGTACCGGAACAGTTGGAAGCTGTGGTTAGTTCTGGATTAACAGGCCTTCAGTTTAACCAGCCAAGAACCTGATTCTCTTGTGCAGGGACAGTGAAGTTGTTGGAAAACTTTCTATGCTTTTTTCTTTCTCTTAAAGACTTTTGAGACAGTCAGTATTATTATTATGATGGTGCAGTAGTATTTCATTTACATTCATGAACCACAGTTTGTTTAGCTATCCCTTGTTTGGTGAGCTCTGTGCCTTTTTCTGTGGGGAAAGAACATGTTTTCTCATTTTCTTGGGTGGAGTATCTGTTCCACATGCAGGATCCTAGGGTTACACTGCCTGGTTTGAGGGGCAGGGGCCATGAAGGAGCTCCATATTGGCATTCTCTAGTACCTTTGGTAACTTCTCAAGGGCTGGGTTTTTTGTTGGCTAAAGGGGCATAGTTCAATCACAGTTTGTTTTTGGTTTTTTTTTTCTGCTTTTTGGTGAAGCAGTTGGGGTTAAGTGACTTGACCAGGGTCACATGGCTAGTAAGTGTCAGGTATCTGAGGTCAGATTTGACCTCAGGTCCTGCTGACTCCAAGGCCAAAGCTCTGTGTACTGCACCATCTAGCTGCCCCTTAATCACAGTTCTTGATGAATAGTTTCATTGTAGTAGTCTCAGTGAGAACTTCTGAGATAGAAAAATTGGAGATTTTTTTTTTCCTGTAAGAGGTATTGGTGGTGGCAGTGGTGGTGGTGGTAGGGGGGTTAAAAGCAAAATGTCATTTCATTGCTCCTAGGATGTGTAATCTCCATTTATGGAATCATCTTACTCCCTTCCCAAGGAAAAATTTTACTTATAAATTTATAAGCCTCCAAAACAGTTGACATATACAGAAATAGAAAGTTAGAAGTTAAAAAAAAAGACGTGATAAATAATGCATTTTTTCTTCTATGAGAGAGATGGGATGGTAGCGTGGTGGTGTTGGGAGGTATATCTAGATTTGCCTCATCTCTTTTGGGTTTTCCTAACGAGCTCATTCTCTGTTCTTTTCCCTTTACATCTAATACTCTCTTTTTACTTCTAAAAGTAATTTTAGAATTCCAGTGTTATTTGACCTTTGGAGTCTGATGTGCTTTGTAGCTAGGTCATGTGGTATCTGTAGCAGCTGTCTGCTTGTGAGTCCTGATTCCTGTCTGAAGTTGAAGCTGAGTGTATGTGTGTGTGTGTGTGTGTGTGTGTGTGTGTGTGTGTGTGTATGTTCTGTTTGTCTAGGTTGTCTAAAATAACCAACTTGTAATTTAATTGCAGTATGGTTGTTTTCCTTTGTGTTACATGCTGGTTGTCATCGGTTTCACTTTCAAAAAATGCCAAATTATATGCAAAAACAAACATTTTGAGGTGTAATTTCCAGAGGCTTATTAATTTTGAATAATGAATGAATGCCTTTATAATACTGCTTATAATACTGGCCAGCATTTATTTACATCCTTGTACAAAAAGATCTGTTTCTCAGTGAAGAACTTACTTTAAAAAAATCTGTTAATTATTAATTGCTATTTGATACTGAGATCCTAATGTCATATTTTCTTTTAATTTAAAAATAAATTTCTGCTAATTATTAATCACTATTTGATACTGAGATCCAAAACTCATATTTTCTCTTAATTTCACAAATAAACTTTAGCTAATTATTAATTCTACATGATACTGAGATCCTATAGTCATATTTTCTACTTTCAGAAATAAATTTCTCTAATTGTTACTTGATTTTATTCTAAAATACTAAAGGTATCTTTTTTTTAAATTTCAAATTTAAGAGCCAAGAAAATGTCTGAGGCCCAGGATGGTTTTAAAGTCTCTAGAAAAACTGAAAGAATTCTGCTGTGATTCTGAGATTCCTTATAGTAGAGCTCCAGCTGAACCACCACAGGGGAGATTGGCAATTTTGCCAAAATGTACTGATTTTGAAGACATCAGCCTAAATGCAAAACATATTGTTCCTTCTGAAGGTTCCAGTTCTCAAATGAATCAGAAGGTATGTACCTTGTGTCCAGAGGAGCATTTATTGAGAGCAGATTAAGTTTTGGTTCCCACATGGGGTCCATTAGCACCATGGAAGGGCCTCAGAAGTGTATGCTTGCTTTCTTTCTCTAGCCAGTTGCATTGTGGCATGTCTTAGCAGTGGGTTGCATTTGGGTTTTGGGAGTGGAACAGAACCAAGAATTGCCCATTTCACTTAGGGACAGCTCTGCTGGGAGTTTTTCTTATATCCAGCTTCCATTTGCCTTTTGTAACTTCTCATTATAACTAGTTCTGTTCTTGGTCAAATAGAATAAGTCTAGTTGTGCTCTTCCAAATGGCAGCCTTTCCAAACTTAGGCACCTAGAATTGAACTTATTCTAGATGTGTCATGAACAAAGCAGTATACTGCAGGACTGCCATCCCCTTATAAAATCTTGGAAGCTATGCCTCTCAATGCAATGCAAGATTGCATTAACTTTCTGTCTGACATATTATACTGTCAACTTATAGTCTCCTAAAGTCCCCATTTGTAAATAAACAAACTGCTGTGTGACCATTCCTCCCCCATTTTGTCTTGGAGAAGTTGAGTAGTTGAACTGGAGTGTAAAGCTTTGCATTTTTTCTCCCCATCTTATAATTTCTATGTGTAATTTCCTAGCCTGTTGAGACTTTTTGGATATTGACTCTGTCATGAAGTGAGTCAGATACCCCTCCCAGCTTTGTGTCATCTATAGATCTCATAAGGAAGTCATCTAAGTCTTTATCCAAATCATTGACAAAAGAGTTAAGTAGTATAAGGCCAAGTACAGGAGCACCCCACGGGATGCTTCTTTCTGTGACATTTAAAAAGATTTGAGAGACATAGTTTCTGGGTAATTTAATAATTTTATTAATAAGGCCAGCAGGTTATTAATAAAAGAATGGTCATTTAGCTGTCTCTCTTAGACCAAAGACCCCTAATGACAGTGGGCTTATATGCTTTTCAAAGAGGAGGTGTTCCTGAGGGATAACCTCTGATTGGTTAATCAAATGGGAGGTAGGCTATCTTTGGTTACGTGACTTGGATCACTCAAATCTTGGTCAAAGAGACATCAATTTCCACATCACTTGTGTTGATAATAGGGAAAATCAACATGTTCCCTGGACCTGTTTGAGCAACACGATGAGCAAGAATATACCCATTAGCCCAAATTTTATAATTTCTTTTACTGTTTGATTAGATCTTGGCCTGGGTAAGTCTCTAAGGGAGATTTCCCACAATGGTTGGTTTCTATATGAGAAAGTAGAAAAGGGGAAAAATCTTGGAGCTAATACAATAATAAGTTATTAAATGTAAGAGAGAAATACTCATTTCTCACATTTCCAAGTTTATGGAGAACCATTAAATGACTAGTTTGAATCCAGTCATTCATGAGTTCTAAATATTAAATTGTTCTGTGATCTAGCTCGCATCACTATCTTCTCTATATGAAGAACATGAGATACATTATCAAGCGCACTTTTAGTATTAATATCTGTGTTTCGCATATCCTCTTGTATGTGGGTTTGCTAGAACTTATGTAGTCTTCTTTTAGAAAGAAGTCTAACAAGCTTAGTTTTATGGTTTCCTATCCCATAACAAAGTAAAAGCTATGTAAGGGAGATTGGGTGGGAGGGTGTACCTCAGTATATAGTGACATTGACAGCTGACAGGTAGCAGGACAGCAAAGGAAAGAGGTAAAAAATTATAGGGGACAAACACAAGAACTCAAACAGCCATTTTTGTTTTTAAAAACTTTATTGATATCATTTCTTTTTATATCACCTTCATTTTCTTTTTTTCTCTTCAATTTATTTATTTTTAGTTTTTGACATTCACTTCTGTAAGCTTTTGAGTTTAAAATTTTCTTCCCCTCTCTTCCCTCCCACCTCCCCAAAATGGCATGCAATCTGATATAGGGCCCACATATATGTTCATATTAAACATTTTCACATTAGTCATGTTGTAAAGAAGAATTAGAACCGATGGGAGAAACCACAAGAAAGAAGAAACAAAACAAAACACAGAGCAGTGTGCTTCAATCTGCAGTCTGACTCCATGGTTCTTTCTCTGGATGTGGACAGCATGTTCCATCATGAGTCTTTTGGAGTTGTCTTAGATACTTTCATTACTGAGAAGAGCTAAGTCTGTCAAAGCTAGTCATGACACAATGTATCACCTTCATTTTCAAAACCTCTCTTCTTCCTGGTTCAAATGGGCCTCAGACACGTACTAGCTGTGTGACCTTGGGCAAGTCACTTAACCTTGTTTGCTCTAGTTTTCTCATCTATCAGATGAGCTGGAGATAGAAATGGCTTAACACTCTAGCATCTTTGCCAAGAAAACTCCAAATGGGGTCACAAAGAGTTGGACATGAGCAACAATAAACAATTGATCATCATAGTTACATAGTATTTGGTGGAGTTTTGTTTTTCTGTTTCCATTAACGCCTTTGTTGTCATTGTTTGTAATGTTTTCCTCATTAGGCTTACATCACTCTTCCCCGATCCATAGAAAGCTTCCCTTCCCTCCCTATACTCTCCATATTTATTGTTTCTTAAAGCATAATAATTTTCCATTGCCTTCTTGAATTACAGTCTGTTTAGCTGTTCTCCAGTTGTTGGTCACCTACTTTATTTCCAGTCCTTTGCTACTTTGAAAAGAAGCATAGCTATTTGTAAACCCCGCTTAACTTCCTTTAGATCTCTTTCATCTGCCCTCTTGGATCCATTGTATCTTGTGGTAATCTTTCTAGTGAGGTAACTTTCTTGACAAATTGTTTCAGTTTCTTTAGATCTTGAAATTAGTCCTCTGCCTTCAAAGAGAAAAATTAGCTTTTCAAGAAGATTGTGCTTGAGGTTGCAGCTCTATTTTTCTTCATTTTGTACAGCATTTTTTCCCTTAAGCTCCTCTTTTTTCCCAAAGTCTGAGTTCCAAAGTAATTCCCTCCTCTCCTTCCCCCATCTTTAAATGTTCTTTCTTTTTTCTTCTTGACAACTTGTAAAATTGTGTCTTTTCCTTTAAAGTTTAAAAACTTGGTATGGATTTGGATTTCAGGATGTGCCATATCCCCTTCCATGCCAAGTTCATCCTCTTAGAAAAATTTCTTTCATTCTTTAGAACTGGGAATGCATAGTGCTTGAACAGCAAGGGACTTCTAAGTATTGACATCCATTTTTACCTCATATTTCTGGAGTGCATTCCTTCTTCATCCCATATTTCAGAATCCTCCTTTTCTTTTGAGGTTTAGCTCAAGTTCTTTCTCCTCCTTGTAGGACTGATGCCTCTGCCTAGCTGATAAGTGTTCTCTCCCCAGATTTTCCTAAAGTATTTTGTCTAGCTCTCTCATGTTCCTTCATCCCACTATGCCTTTAGATTCACTTTGCCTGTATCCTTGTCTTATTCCCCCGATAGAAAGGAAGCCCATGTATGTTTGTTCTCTGGCTTCAGACAGACTACTGGCTCAGAGAGAGTCAGCGTATTTGAAATTTAGCTGGTGTAGTAGATAAAGCATTGGGCTTGGGATCAGGAAGACTCATTTTCATGAGATCAAATCCAGCCTCAGACACTTAGTAGCTGTATGACCCTGGGCAAGTCACTTATCCCCATTTGTCTTAGTCTAGAGAAGGAAATGGCAAACCATTCTAGTATCTCTGCCAAGACAACCTTAAATGGGATCAGATATGACTGAAAAATGACTAAACAGCATCTGTTATCCCATTGGCGAATGTTCTTAGAACCGTAGACTCTCAGAGTTGCAAGAAATCCCAAAAGTCATCTATTTCAACCTGTGTCTGAACAGGAATCCTTTTTGTAACATTGCTGACAAGTAGTTGTCCAGCTTCTTCTTGAATACCTGCAGTAATATAGAAGCTCAATCAGGCAACCCATTCCACTTTTTTTTTTAATTGCTTTTTGGTAAGGCAATTGGGGTTAAGTGACTTGCCTAGGGTCACACAGCTAATAAGTGTCAAGTGTCTGAGGCTGGATTTGAACTCAGGTCCTCCTGACTTCAAGGCCAGAGCTCTAGCGGCCCCACCATTCCACTTTTGAATGGTTCACTTAGTAAGTTTTGCCTGGTATTCATTGGGATCAGTCGTTTCTGCAACTTTTAGCACTTTGCACTGAGCCTCTCACATGGCAGATGGTTATAAATGTGTGTTGAATATGAGGTATTATATTCTATCCAATCTATCCATCTAATTCTTATTTCTGGAGTTAAATAAGTCTAATTCCTTGCCTGGGGTTGAGCAAAACAAATATTCCATATCCATTTACTTGCTAGAAGGGTTGTTTCTCATGTCCATGGTCTCCCTTCTCTCTGTGTCCCCCTCCCCCTTAGGTCTTCCCCATTCCAGTTCTTTTATGGTGTTTTTGTCTTCCTTATTTGCCTTCTTTTGGATGCCCTGGAGCTTGTGGATGCTGTTTCTAAACTATGATACCTAGGTGTCGGCACAGGGCCCTAGATGCAGTTTGAACAGGCCTCTCTGTGCTCTCCCTCCTTACCTCTGCCTCCTGGACTCCAAGGTTCTTTCAAGGGCCACCTGTTTTAGGAAGCCTGTCCCTGATTTTCACCTCCACTGTTAGTGCTGTGCCCCCAGAAATGACTTTGCATCTATTTTATATGTATTTTATATTTATATTTTATATGTTTATATTTGTTCGGTTTGGCCCCCAGAAGACAGAGCAGAAGTTTGAAAGAGGCAAAGTTAGGCTCGATGTAATGAAAACATTTCTTGACAATTGGAGATATCTGTAAGTTTGCATGTACTGTCTTAGGAGGGAGTAGGTTTCTCCTAACTGCAGGTGTTCAAGTAGAGGTTGGATGACCGTTGTAGGGTCTTCTAGTGGAGATTCTTTTTCAGGTCTGAGTCACTATAGTTGGCTGCTTAGATCCCTTTTAGCTTTACAATTCTTAACTTTGATCAAATTTCATCTTATTGGACTTGGCCCATTGCTTTAGCCTGTAAATGCTTTTGGGTCTTGATTATGTCATCTACTGTCTAACTATTCTTAAGTAAATTTGGTTTGACTTTACATATGCATGTAATCTATGCCTTTAATTAAGTCCTTGATAAAAAAAATGTTAAACCGAAATAGGCCAAGGACAGCCCTGTGGCATTCCATTATGCTTTTTTTTTTTGAGCTGAAGTTTTCCTGTATGTAGTCTCTTTTAGGAAGTGTTTGATAGGAATGCTAATGTAATCCAAGAATCCTTTGAATTGAAGAAATAGATAAATCTGATTGAATATTTAAATGATGCTATATGTATGGTTATATACTTTGATTCTTCTCAAGACCCTTCTCTTGATAGGGAGGATCACTTTTTGGTCTTGCTCATTTTTCATTATCAAATAAAAGTCATGAAAGCCTACAGAATACATCTGAGCCCAAACCTACCAACAGAAGAACCAAAAGCATTTATACTCCGTTAGAAATGCAATACCTAGAAATGAAAGAGCAACATAAAGATGCCATCTTGTGTATTGAATGTGGATACAAATATAGGTTCTTTGGAGAAGATGCAGAGGTAAGTGGCTTTTTTCAAATATTTCATACTGGTTTTTCTCATCTGGTAGCATATAAATTGTGGCATATAGCATTTTCTAAAATTTTTGTTTCATTTTCTGGGTTGGTGAAATTGTTTTCAGCAAGCTAGGAAAAGTGAATCTAATCAAGCCTTTAAAATGTACCTATTTACTTTTTGTTTTTATGTAAAAAAATTAATTCAGAAATAAAAGAACGAGTGTTTTTTTAATTTGTCATATGCATATGATATGCCAATTTGTTTTCATTCCTGACCTCCTGTACTAAAGAGTAATTCTGCAGGCAAACACAGCACTGTTAGGTTTTGATAGGTTTAGGCAGATTAAGAAAATCCTGTTGTGTATTTTTATAAAAAGCTTTTAAATTCATCTGCTGGTCCTTGAGGTCTAGCAGTTAAGTTTTGCAAAAAGGGAGTAAAGCATAATATTCTGTACAGGAAAATGGGATTGTGAATTTAGTGAGTCTGTATGTATTTACATTTGTATTTTGCAGATTGCAGCACGGGAACTCAACATATATTGCCATTTGGATCACAACTTTATGACAGCAAGCATACCCACTCACAGACTTTTTGTTCACGTACGCCGTCTTGTGGCAAAAGGACATAAGGTCAGCTTTGGCTTCTGTTGGTTGGTAAATGAGAATGGCAGTTCTTTTAGACATTAGGAAAAATGAGTCTTTGTCATGAAATTGGTTTGAAAGACCTCAGATTTGTATTTTGACCTTTGGGAGAAATTTGTTTTTCCTAGTCTTTATTTTTGGCATTCTGCCCTCATTGGGTTATATTTTGGTGGAATTTTTTTTAAAATGCAGCTAAATGTGGCAGAAGGGCACCTAGGTGGTGCAGTGGATAGAGCAGCAGGCTTAGAGTCAGGAAGACCTGAGTTCAAATCTGGCTTCACACACTTACTAGCTGTGTGACCCTGGGCAAGTCACTTAACCCTGTTTGCCTCAGTTTTTTCATCTGTAAAATGAGCTGGAGTAAAAAATGGCAAACCACTCCAGTATCTTTGCCAAGAAAACTATAAATGGGGTCGCAGAGAGTCAGATATGACTGAAAATGACTGAACAATAACAACAACAACATATGTGGCAGAGGGATCCTAACTAATTTGTTTGGAAAATCTTCTTAAGCTATTTCTATGAAGTACTATCTCAGAATCTGGTCCTTCCACACTAGTAATGTGTTCCATTCTCTACATCCAGTGTGCATGAATTAGCCTTTCTTAGGGTTTAAAATGTAAGTATTTTAAAGTCTGCCACTTGATTTTAAATTTTTTATGGCATATTCTTTTACAGGTGGGAGTAGTCAAACAAACTGAAACTGCAGCGCTGAAGGCTATTGGAGAGAATAAAAGTTCTGTGTTTACCCGAAAATTGACTGCTCTTTATACTAAGTCTACACTTATTGGAGAAGATATCCTTTTGGAGATAATTTAGCTTTTAAAAGTTGCTAATGCTTTTTGTATAGTTGTTTTTTTAAAAGAAGATAGCTTTATATAATCTCTTCTTTTGAGTTGATAACTTTTTGACATAAGAAGGCACATCAAACTGTGGATATGTGCTGTAATGATGTTTGATGGAAGATGCTCGTATCAAAGTGGGGGAAAAAACAGTCAATTGAATTAGGGTTGAGAAAATAGATTTTTGAAATGGCCTGCTAAAAGACAGTGATAGTTCATTAATGTCTTTTATTTTTTGGCGAGGATGCGATTATATTATTAAACCTCTATTATTGGAGATATGTTCCAGGGACAGACTTTGTAGTCAGAAACATCATTTCCAAAGGTAGAAATAATATGAGATCATAGAACTCTGTTCCAGGGCTTGGATTTCCTCTTTTTGCCACATCTTTTCAGGACATATCTCTTTCTGTTTGTTGAGCCACAGCTTTCCAGCTTCCTTGGCCTGTTTAGTTACACTCCTGTTAGTCTTAGGGTGAATTCTGGCCATGGGGAGGTTGCATAAAGATCCCCGCAGCCCAGTACACACATGCACGGGCTGTGTGGCACTTTCATCTCAATTGGCTGTTCATCTGTCTCACCTGCTGTACCTGGACTCTAGTCCATTCATGAGGTTCTTGTGTATTAGGCTGCATGACTGCCTCCTGCTCATCTGCTGCTTGTCCCATCATGGTTGGAACTTCTTCCAAATTCCTCAATGCTCAGGCCAATTTATGTTAAAGGGAGCTTTGCTCTTAAAAAGTGTGTCAATTGGAGTCTTAATTGATTTCTTCCATGTATTAGTTACCTTCTGTTTTCATTCTTTATTTTTTACTTTTCCATTTCTTCTACTTCTTTACATTTTTTCCTTGTCAGTTACTAAGTATTTTAAGGTAAAGAGGGAAGTTACTTACATTGTGTCTTGGGTGCTTTACTGTATTTGTACCTTTACTTTTGGCATTAATTTTGCGAATTTTATGATGAAGGTTCAAATCTCAGGTAGCGTAATTCACTAGAAGATCAGTGGTAACTATTTGAGTATTCATAGAGTGTTACACACTTTTTTAGATGCTTTGTAAGTAAGAAGATAAACTATTTTGAGCACATGGTTTCTGTGCTAGCAGGCTATATATTGAGATAAGCTAAAACCTAGAATCACAGAATATTAGAACTAGGAGGTACCTAGTTCAGACTTCTTGTGATTCTGGAAAGGACACTGATTTGGAAGTCAAAGGACCTTGATGCAAACTCCTACTCTACTGCTTATTATTTGCATTTTAGTTTAGTCACTTGTAAAATGAGGGGTAAATATCTGATGACCTCTCAGGTCCCTTTTAGCTCTAAATCTATAATGTCATGGAACTTAGAGTAGAAGTAAAGAGGATTAGATGCTAACTAAACGTGAGGTACAAAGCTACATGGGAAGGAGGTATCTTGTGAGAGCATGGACAACTGATCAGTTTTCTTGATGGAGAGAATAGATAATAGATTTGCTATTGTTAATAGGAGTAGGAAAAATCAATTTTATTTCCTTTAATAACTATTAAATGTGAATCCCTTGATGAAGCTAGATGATCCTGTAAATGTTGAAGAAACACCAAGTGATACGTCTAACAATTATCTCCTATGCATCTGTGAAAATAAAGAAAATATGAAAGATAAACAAAAGGGGAATATCACAGTTGGCATTGTGGTAAGTAATATTTGGGTAAAATATGAATGATAGAGATTTCCTATATGTCTTATAAAGACTTCCTATAAAAAACTTGTCATAGTGCATACAACTGATATGGTGCCAAAATATTTTTCTGATTTATCGTTAACATAAAAATGTCTTTATTGTATGCTTAATTGTGATTGCCATTTTATGGAATTATTTTAGGAACTTCACTGAGTCAGGCCCTGTCCTCTACAACTTTAAAATTTAGGATGGACATACTTATGTGGACACACATGTATGGTACTTTAGGATTGTGGGATTAAAACATTTAACAATGACATAAAGTAAAGTGTTTTATAAATTAAAGATGAGTCCATCCTATATGTTGAGAGCATAGGTAAATAGTAGTGTGGTAATCGTTGAGTGACTATGGAAATATAATGTCTATACTTGGAAAGATAGTCGAGGCAGAAAAGGATTAAATTCATCAGAGGATTATATTCAGGAAAGTTTTAATCTACCTTACAGATATAATTTATACAGTTTGGCTTTCCTAATCTTCTCCAGTCGGTTTAAGTAAAGTATATGTGTCATGCACGAAAGTCCTCTTGTGATGTCTCGTTTCTTGCACAGGGGCTAGAGGAACTGAACTTGCCATATTGTTACTCTTGTTGTGAATGAAGTTGACATAATGTTATATCATGCCTCATGGGCTTTCTTCTGAGATGTGAATCCAGAGGTTGGCAGAAGGATTTTTTTTTTGTGTAGTCCAAAAGCAAAAGAAACATTATGGTCATCTTGCCAAGCAATCAGTGCTCAAGATGAATGTACATGAACACGTCATTATGAAAATAATTCATTGCAGAGGGTGAAGAAGTTTAGAAATCCTGTGAAGAAAGTAACTTTTTTCAACATGTATTTTGATAATCATTGACATCATTGTGAAAGGAACATGGGAAGATAGTGAAAAGTGTTTTGAAAATTTAGATTCAGGGTCATGAAATGCAGGGACCAAAGACATAAACTTCTTCGTTGTGAATACTTTTTTTTTTCACTTCTAAATTTATTTATTTTTAGTTTTCAACATTCCCTTCCACAAGTTTTTGAGTTCCAAATTTTCACCCCATCTCCCCCCTCCTCCCACCCCAAGATGTCATGCATTCTGAATATCCCTTCCCCTACTCTGTCCTCTCTTCTATCTCTCTCCCCTTCTCTTATCCCCTTCCCCTTCTATTTTCCTGTAAGGCAGGATAGACTTCTGTACCCCATTTCCTATATTTATTTCCCAGTAGCATGTGAAAACTTTTTTTAAACATGTTTTTAAAACTTTAGGTTTCAAAATTTTCTCTTCCTCCCTCCCCACCCACCCTCATTGAAAAGGCAAACAACTCAATATAAGTTGTACATGTGCAGTTATGCAAAACACGTCCATAGTAGACATGTTGTGAAAAACTAACTCTATTTCCCTTAATCCTATCCTGCCCTCCCATTTATTCTATTCTTTCTTTTGACCCTGTCTCTCCTCAGAAGTATTTACTTCTGATTACCCCTTTCCCAATCTGCCCTCCTCTCTATCATCCCCCTGCTCTCTTGTCCCCTTCTCCCCCTATTTTCCTGTAGGGTAAGACAGATTTCCATACCCAATTGAATGTGTATGTTATTCCCTCCTTAAGCCAAATCCTATGAGAATAAGATTCACTCATTCCCTCTCACCTTCCCCTGTTTCCCCTTCCACTGTAAGAGACTTTTCTGTTTGTTTTTTTTTGTGAGATAATTTACCCCATTCTACCTCTCCCTTTCTTCTTCTCCGAGTATAATCCTCTCTCATCCCTTAATTTTATTCTCCAGATATGACCCCTTAATCTTCAGCTCACCCTGTGCCCTCTATCTATCTATCTACATATACATACATATAATTTTTTTCCTCCAACTACCCTGATACTGACAAAGGTCTCATGAGTTATAAATATCATCTTTCCATGCAGGAATGTAAACAGTTCTTATGATTTCTCTTGTTTACCTCTTCATGTTCCACTGGAGTCCTGTATTTGAAAGTCAAATTTTCTATTCAGCTCTGGTCTTTTCATCAAGAATGCTTGAAAGTCCTCTATTTCACTGAATGACCATTTTTTCCCCTGAAGGATTATACTCAGTTTTGCTGGGTAGGTGATTCTTGGTTGTAATCCTATCTCCTTTGCCCTCCGGAATATTATTCCATGCCCTGGTCCTTTAATGTAGAAGCTGCTAAATCTTGTGTTATCCTGATTGTGTTCCACAGTACTTGAACTGTTTCCTTCTGGCAGCTTGTAATATTTTCTCCTTGACCTGGGAACTCTGGAATTTGGCTACAATATTCCTAGGAGTTTTCCTTTGGGGATCTCTTTCAGGAGGAGATCTGTGGATTCTTTCAATTTCTATTTTGCCCTCTGGTTCTACTATATCAGGGCAGTTTTCCTTGATAATTTCTTGAAAGATGATGTCTAGGCTTTTTTTGATCATGGCTTTCAGATAGTCCAATAATTTTTAAATTCTCTCTCCTGGATCTATTTTCCAGGTCAGTTGTTTTTCCAATGAGATACTTCACATTGTTTTCTAATTTTTCATTCTTTTGGATTTGTTCTACTGTGTCGTGATTTCTCATAAAGTCACTATCTTCCAATTGCTCTATTCTAATTTTTAAGGAAGTATTTTCTTCAGTAAGCTTTTGGACTTCCTTTTCCATCTGGCCAATTTTCTTTTTAGGACATTTTTCTCCTCATTGGGTTTTTGGACCTCTTTTGCCATTTGGGTTAGGCTATTTTTTAAGGTGTTATTTTCTTCAGTATTTTTTTGGGTCTCCTTTAGCATCACTCTCAGTTTTTCCTCTACTTCTCTAACTTGCTTCTCAAAATCATTTTCGAGCTCTTCCATGGCCTGGGACCAAATCATATTTTTCTTGGAGGCTTTGGATGTAGGGGCTTTGACTTTGTTGTCTTCTTCTGGTTGTATATTTTGTCTTCTTTTTCACCAAAGTAAGATAATATAGTCTGACTCTTTTTGTGCTGCTTGCTCATGATCCCGGCCAATTACTTGAGTTTTAAACTCTTTGTTAAGGTATGAATATGCTTCCAATGTGGAGAATGTACTGTCCCAAGCTTCGGGGGTTTGAACAGCTGTTTTCAGAGATACTTGTAGGGACCTGTAAATTTTTAGTTCTTCCAAGGTAGGGGCAAGGTGTTTACTCCTTTCCTGGCCTGCGACTACAAGTACTCCTTTCTGTCCTGTAACTCTGATGAGGGGCTCCTCTCCACAACCACTACAAGCTCCACCAAGCCAGCGCTCCTCCTCACCCCAGCACCGCTGCCCAGAACTGTGGCCCAGATCCAAACACGGGCAAAGCAAGAGATTCCTGCCTCAGCACTGGCAAAGAGATCCCTGCAATCCCTCTGTGCTCAGCCACTGGATTCCCCCTCAGTCTGTGGGTGGGAAGCTCGGGAAGCAGCTGCCCCCCCCAGGGCCACGCTCTTGGGGAATGGAGCTGAAACCCGCCTTCCTTTCTCAGGCACCGACAGAAACAGACTTTTCCCACTGACCTTCTAAGTTGTCTTTGGCATTGGTGGATTGAGGAGTCTGGAAACCTCCACAGTCCTCTGAGGCCTGCTCCAGGTTTGCTGCAGCCTGCGTGCCCATGCTGCGGCCTGTGCACCCACGCCGCGCTGCACTGTGCTCCCAGCCCGGCACGATATACCTTTCTGATCAATCATCCAGGTTGTCTTGGGCTGGAAATTTGTTTCACTCTGTCTTTTTGTGGGTTCTGCTGCTTCAGAATTTGTTTAGAGCCATTTTTTTATGAGTATTTGGAGGGGTTTGAGGGAGAGCTCAAGCAAGTCACTGCTTTCACTACGCCATCTTGGCCCGTGAATACTTTTCTTAAGAAGAGAGTTGGATGGCAAGCACTGAATAACACCATTTTGAATGATCATCTTAACAGATAGAAAATGATCATTTAATTTTTTTTTAACTTGAAAGATTTCATATATTGTTTCTCAAATTATGTGTGAAAACATTTCTAACTTTCTTTTTTTAAATGTTGAGTTCTGAATTCTCTGTCTTTCTTTTCCCCTTCTGCCCACCCTGAGACAGGAAGCAATTTGATGTAGATTATATGTGTGCAGACTACAAAGCATATTTCCATATTAGCAGTATTGCAAAAGAAAATACACACCAAAAAACCCAAGAAAAATTGAAAAAAGTAAAAAAAGTATGCTTCGATGTGTGTTCAGACTCCCATCAGTTCTTTCTCTGGAGGTGGACGGAATTTTTCATCATAAGTCCTGTGGAATTGTCTTAGATCGTTCTATTGCTGAGAAAAGCTAAGTCATTCACAGTTGGTCATTGTACAGTATTGCTGTTACTATGTACAATGTTCTCCTGGTTCTGCTTACTTCACTTTTTATCAGTTCATGTAAGTCTTTCCAGGTTTTTCTGAAAGCATCTTGCTTATCATTTCTTATAGCACAATAGTATTCCATCACAATTGTATCCACAACTTGTTCAGCTGTTCTCCAGTTGATGGGCATCCTCTCAATGTCCAATTCTTTGCCACCACAAAAAGAGCTGTTATAAATGTTTTTATACAAATTGGTCCTTTTCCCTTTCCTTTGATCTCTTTGTGATACAGACCTTGTAGTGATATTGCCGAGTCAAAGGGTATGCATAGTTTTACAGCCCTTTGGGCATAGTCACAAATTGTTCTCCAGAATGGCTGAATCATTTCACAACTCCACCAACAGTGCATTAGTGCCCCATTTTTTCCACATTCCCTCTAGCATTTGTCATTTTCCTTTTCTGTCATATTAGCCAATCTGATAGGTTTGAGGTGGTACCTCAGAGTTATTTTAATTTGCATTTCTCTCCATTTTCATTTCAGAATCAAGTGTCTGTGTGTAGTTTGATCATTGGTAAGTTAAGCAAAGGTCAAAATAAGCAAAATTAAAAGGAAAGGGTAAAGATAGAGAGAAGACATAGTAGGCTAGATCTTTTAAAACAATTTGCATCCAAAAATAGGAAGTGAAAAAAAAGTATAGATATTAACTCCATCACCATTGTTTTAGAGAGACCATTGTGAAATCATTGCCATAGTAAGGCAGAAAGGACTCAGAACCTGTTTTATCCCATACATGTTTAATAGACTCTCAGAGTTGGAGGGACTTCACAGTTAGTTTCTTCCAATCTGCACTTAAATAGAAATTTTATAACATTTCTAACAAGGTGTAACCTTATTGTGCTCAAGGACTTCCAGTTAATCTCTATGCCAGGGATAGAGACCTAGTTTAGAGCACATATTGGTTTGCTCTGTGCAGGGAGATGGTTGGAGACTGAACAGTACTGCCTCACAAAACAGTAAAAAGTCAGTTGTGGTTTAAATAAACCCGTAGAGTGCTTGGCGTGAGAATCATGATCTTTAGGGTATTTTTAGGTGGAATGGTACATAGTGGCCGTGAGTAGGCTGTGATATTTTGCCAATGAAAAATTGTCTAGAAGAAGCAGTGTAAGGAATATCATTAAAAGGAATATGTGCCTGGAAAAGGAGGTGGACAGGCTATGCAGCACGAAAAAATCCTAATGGACAGCTAAGGTACTTCCCCTAAGATTCATGCAATAACAAAAGGTTTTCAGTAGTACTACAGAAGATCTACCTAAAGGAATGGAATCCTTCCTCTTATCTTTTAAGATTAAGCTGCATGTATGCTGGCTGGATGATTTTGGTCACATAACCTATTAGCTCTAGGCACCTCTCTAAATCTTTAAGTTGTAGAGAAGATATGGACTTGAATTAATAATAGGAGTTTCCTTATCTGGGAGTTCCCTTATACCAGTGAAATCAGAGGTCCAGTCTCTGTTCCCCTTCCTTAACCAACATAACACTCAGGTTGTTCATCTGTTTCTCACTCCTTGGCTCACCTTCTTTTCAGGTCATTCATGTTCTCTTTCATGCTACTTCTCACATGTACACTGTGTTTGATAAAATGCTATGCCTTACTGTTGCTCATTATCTATGTAACTTTATATTACTTTGAGTTATTGATAATTCTTGTTCTTTTGAGATCATAGAGTTGCATGATTTGTATATATCTGATACAGCATTAGGAGAATATTGCTGTTAGAAGGATGGAGCAGCCTGGCATCTTGACAAGTGTTACCCAATTTTCCCATTATTATACAGTCTATTTACTATGTCCTCTAATGTTCTGGGCCTAGTTCAGTGTCTACTTTTATTTTCTTTTTTCTTTTTTCTTTGATTTATTTTATTAATTTATTTTGATATATCAACAATTACTTCATGTGCTTTTGAGTTTAAAGTTTTTCTCCCCTTTCCTCCCCACGATGGCGCAAAATCTGATATAGACTATACATTTACATTCCTATTAACATATTTTCACATTAGTGAAGTTGTAGGTAAAAATTAAAACCAATAGGAGGAACCATCAGAAAGAGGAAACAAAACTAAACAGAAGAGAAAAAAAAAGATAGTGATTCAACTTCCATAGTTCTTTCTTTGAATGTGGATAGCATTTTCCATCATGAGACCTGGAGGTGTCTTAGATTCTTGTATTGCTGAGAAGGGTTAAGTTTATCAGTATTAGTCATCTCACAACGTGGCTGTTATTGTGTACAATGTTGTCTTGGTTCTGCTCACTTCACTCAGCATCAGACCATGCAAGTCTTTCCAGGTTTTTCTGAAGTCAGCCTGTTGAGCACAATAGTATTCTGTTGCATTCATATAACACAACTTGCTTCAGCCATTCCCCAATTGATGGGCATCCTCTCAACTTCCAATTCTTTGCCACCACAAAAAGAGCTGCTATGACTATTTTTGTATATGTGGGTCCTTTTCCCATTTGTATGATCTCTTTGGGATATAGCCCTAGAAGTGCTATTGCTGGGTCAAAGGACAGTGTCTGCTTTTATTACTTGGGATTATCTACCCATATTGAAGCAGTCACAGACTTATGAAAGTGCTGAAATGCATGACCTGGCTCATTTATGGAAATCTGCCCATTTAGGATCATTTGGAACTATTGGAGCTCTGATGTGTTTTATGCACAAGTGAGATCCTTTAACTAACAAAAACTTCTGCTTACTTTTTTTTGCCTTTTAACATCTTCTAAGCAGTTCTCAAAATGTCTTTCTATTATGATTTCATTCTTTATTCTGCTTATGTCAAATCAGAGGGAATGATGTTTGCTTTATTGTTAGACCATTTCTGAAATGGCTTAACATAGCATTTGTTTTTGAATGGCTCTAAGTGGTGTTCCTAATGAGTTAGCACCAATATGGCAGCTCACAGTTAGGTATACTTGCTTGTCATTGGTCAGATAATGGTCCTCATGTGAGTAGTAAAAATAATAATAACTAATGATGGCTGATATTTGTGTAATGCTTTAGGGTTTGCAAAAATCCTGTTTGTCAGAAATTAATTCTAAAGAGCACACTAGAGGGCAGTGTACCCTTCCTTGTTAAGCCTTAGCATTAGGTTAGCTGATCAGTCATGAAGAATGATGCATGAAGCAGTGAGGCGATATGGTCTTGTGGAAAACATAGTGGTTTTCAAGTCAAAGGATCTGTGTTCATATACTGGGTATTTAAGAATTGGGGATGAGAGATTGTAACCAATGAACTGCCAGCTCTGAATTTATGTTCTATAGGGATGTTTCCAGGACTAAAGTTAAGTTAATCAAAGTGAGCCATCTGGTATGTATAAGCAATTAAAAAGGATCTATAGTAGTTTGTCCCTCAAAAGGATGGCATAAATTCCAACAAAAAGTTTCTAACTCATGGTTAGGAGACCTTTTCATGAGAACAATGAGACTATGAAGACTCTTGGTTGCCTAAATTGAGAAAAGTTTGCTTGAAGTTTATTTTGGTTAGCAATTCCACAGTGTTCATAAGACAATAAGGTACTACTGAGGACATAGCGCCTTTAGAGTTACTTCCTGGTTTGGCTGATGCTCAAACCAAGTAATATTGATGTGTAGACAATTCATCCTTTAAAGATTATGGATTTATAGGTAAAGAATCCTTGAAGGACAAACATGGATTTTTACAAATAAGAGTAGACACTGGAAAAACAAATTAATTAAGGTCTGAAATGCTGAGTTGGGCACTTTTGATTGTTGTTAATCCTTTGGGTTTCTTTTTGTTTTTTTTTTTTTTTGATTAGGCAGTGGGGTTAAGTGACTTGCCTAGGGTCACACAGCTAGTAAGTGTTATGTGTCCGAGGCCGGATTTGAACTCAGGTCCTCCTGAATCCAGAGTCGTGCTCTATCCACTGTGCCACCTAGCTGCCCCTTTATGTATTTCTTTTTTTTTTTGGTTTTGTTTCTTTTTTTTTTTTGATGTTAATCCTTTGTTATTTTTGCCTCTCCCCACCCTGCTATTTCCTTTCCCTTCTGTCTTGTTTTCTGGTTTTGTAATGTTTAACATACAAAGAGGGTTTTATGATATTAAATAGTATAAAATCTGTACTTTGCTAGTCCAGCATAAATGTTCTTGGCTCCAGGCAGTTGGCTAATTGCAAAGCAAAGCTGTTTGTAGTTTTGGAATTTAAGTGTTTATTTCCAAACATTAATATTTCATTTTTGAGTAAAGCTATTTGTTTCTCTTGACTGCTTTTCTTTTGCTGTAGTCAGCATCATATGACTGCGAGGTTGTTTTCTTTTCAGAGTGAATGGGTGATCTCCTTGAGATAAAGGGGAAACTAAAATGGATTACAGCTGTGTTTATGGGTTTTAAGAAATGTATTTTCTTTAAAATCCACTTATTAAGTGAAGTGTAGGGTGGTACTGTTCAGGATTATAATTCTTTCTTAAAAAATCGTTTCCATTGGGTGGTGAGGAAAATGATTTGTTAGCCTTGAAAATGTATGATAGGGTTCAAATAGTGATAACATTTTTGTAAGTCTGAGTTGTTGCTGTTGTGATGGTGATGATCAATGATATACTTAATTGATTTTTTTGAACATCTCTCATGTCTTTGTAAAATATTTGAACTATTAGGCTTATATAACCTATTATGTATACAGAGCCTGGCATATAATAAGTGCTTAATAAATGCTTCTTTCCATCTGTAAACGTAGCAAAACACCTATTTTCCATATGACCCGGCACACCTGTTTTTCAGGGAGTACAGCCTGCAACTGGTGAGGTCGTTTTTGATAGTTTCCAGGACTCAGTATCCCGTTTAGAATTAGAGACCCGCATTTTAAGATTGCAGCCCGTGGAACTTCTGCTACCATCAGAGATGTCTGATCACACTGAGAGGTTCATCAAGAGTATAACTTCTGTCAGGTATGTATTTACATATTTTTGTGGGGGAAATAAAATGGATTTGGTCATAGTACTCACTATTCATAATAAATCCTTGTTTAAGGTTGATGTCTTAAAAGATAAATTTTTTTAATAATAGCTATTTAATTTATGAAAGCATTACGGAGGTTCATTCCTGAAGAAAAATTTATTTAACTTTGAAAATGCCTTTTCAAGGTGTCAGGTTTTATATTTCATACCTCTTGTCTGTCGGCTTTCTCTATATGTAAATTTATATAAATTTGGAGAAATTTCATATGGGAAGCTCCATATTGGTTGATTGTCCTTAAGGTTAATAACATTTTTTTCATGCCTCAGTTTAGCTGCATTCTTGCAGAAAATAAAGGCTCCTATCTGAAAGAATTGAAAAGTACAGTTAAAAAAGAAAACTTAAAATATTACCACAAGAGGTCCCCATAGCATTTCCTATTTCATGAGTCACCAGGCCATTACTTTAAATGATTCAGAAATGGTTTGCTTTTATTTACCAAGCTGCAAAACTACTTGCATACTTTTTTTCCTTCATTTTGAGTAATGTGAGTGTTCACGTAAATGTTAATCTACGATGAAATTAAGTTGTAATTATTTCTATCCAACTAAAATTTTCAGTGTTTTAGTCTCTTATTTCTTTTGTGTTTTACCTAAACATGAAAATAGAACACTTGGGGGTATGGCAAGAGCTGAAAGTGCACCCATTTTTAGAAAGGGTAGCAGTGATGTCATGTCATCATGAGGGAGCCAGAAGATGGAAGGATTGAGAGAGGAAGAGGTTCAAGATGAAAGCAAGTTTGTTAATTATGGAATAGATATTCTGGAGAACACACTTGAAGGGGTAGAGTCGAGGGTGATGGGAGTCAGGGAGTGGACACATGCAATGAGGAATGGGGTTTGCATATCTTCGGCCAGGAATTCAGAATCATTGGAGTGATGGCAATTTGCTAACCACTGGAGAATTAAGTCAAGTCTATCAGTGGTTATAGAGAGGTCTGTTGACAGAGGCAGGTGATTATACTTTTCTAGGTATTGCCTTAAGAGCTGTCCTTAGGCCAGGTGATCATATTTTGTCTTTTGAGGGCCAGAAACCTTCCCACCTTACTGCAAGTAGAAGCAAGGTTGGAAGAGACTGGTCAGGAGGTAGGAAGTGAAAATACCAAGTGGGAGGTAGTCTCCAAAGCACTAGAGAAGGTCCTGGGGTGAAAGAAGCCAGTGGAAGCAAGCCAGATCTGAGACTGACACATAACTTAGTGAGAAGGCCCTTTTCCATTGTGTTACTGTCATATTACTCTAGCAAGTCAGAGAGAAGAGGCAGAGGGTGGGAGATAGATTGCTAGATCCCAGATGGATTGATGCAGGGCTATCTGGGAAGGCTCTGGGGTAAAGAGGCCAGGATGGCGCTGAGGGCCCACTGGGAAGGCCCTGGAGAAAAGACGAAAGCTACTAGAGACAGGTGACTGATGCAAGACTGACAGTGGACTTATGGAGAGACTCCTTCTAATCTTATACCACCATGTGGTATCCATTACTATCCAAATTCTACTTATTTCTCCTTCTGCTCTCTTCCGTGTCTGTGCCTTTGTTCCTATCTTTTTTTTTCCCAGAAAAAAAACGTTTTTTATTCATATAATTCCTAGTTTATGTTTTGGTAGGTGGACCCCAGATATTGTATCCATTCTGTGGTTATTTTGAATGAAATTTCTTTTTCTATCTTTGTGCTATTTTGTTTTGGCAATAGGTTCATGATTTTTGTGGATTTGTTTTATGTCCTCCTAGTTTGCTGGTTATTGTTTCTAATAATTTTTTTTAGTTGATTATCTTGGCTTCTCTAAATAGACTATCATATAATCTGGAAAAAAGAGATACTTTTCGTTTCTTCTTTGTGCTTACTCCCATTATTTCTTTTTCTTGTCTTATTGTTAAAGCTGGCATTTTAAATAGTAGTGGGGATAATGGATATCCTTGATTTATACCTGATCTTATTGGAAAAGAATCTAAAATATGTTACAGATAATGATATTTATTTTAGATAGATACTATTTATCATATTAGAAAAGGTCCTGTTTGAATATGTATTCAATTCTTCTTTGTCTAATTCAAATTTTAGTCTTGGCCACTCATGTCCCCCTGAGCCCCACACCCCCTCACCCCTTCTTCCAGGTTTATGTACTGTTTTCCTTACCTCAGTTATGGGACATAGTAAGTTCTACCCTTTTTCCCCCTCATTTCATTTCTTCTCCTTTATTCCTTTTTTCCTCTCTTTTTATTGTTCTTTTAAGAGCATTTAAGCAGAACAAAACCACCTCCTGTCCCTCTGTTTATTTTAATCACCTCTGCACTTTAGGATTTTGCAAGGACATTTGTTCCTTCTCTCCCCATTAGAATGTGAGCACTTGCCCATCATTTAGTTCCAGTTGCTCAAATGTATTTACTTTTCTAAGTTTCTCTTGATTCTGGGGTTTGTGTTCATAGTTTTTACTCAATTCTCTCTCTTTTTTTTTCATCAAGAATGTTTGAAAATTCTCTATTACGTTAAAGGTCCATTTTCTTTTTAATCTGTAAGATTATGCTGAATCTTACAGCATAAATTATTTTTGGTTGTAAGCCTTTTTTTGTGCCTTTTGGAATATTGTGTTCTAAGATTTTTCTCTCTTTTATAAGTAATTGCTGCCAAATCTTGTGTGATCCTGACTAGTCTTCTAGTACTTAAGTTATTTATGCTGATTGCTTTTTTTTGTTGTTTTTAAACTTGAAAGCTCTGAATTTTAGCCATGACATTACTGGGAGCTTTCATTCTCGGATATTTTTCAAGAGATAATCAAAGGATTTTTTCTATTTTTACTTTGCCTTCTGGTTTCAGTAAAATCTGGACAGTTTCCTTTATGATTTCTTGAAATAGGACATCTTAGATTTTTTTTTGTCTTCAGAGTGTCTAGTCATTCTTAAATTCTGTCTTCTTGACCAATTTTCCAGGTAATTTGTTTTTAATAGCAGATACTTTAATAGCAGATACTTTGTACTCTCTTCTCTTTTAAAAAAAAATCTTTATTTTGTTCTAATATTTCCTATAATTTTGTTTGGTCTCTTCTGATTTTCAGGGAGTCTGTTACTTGGATAGAGTTTCTTACATTCTTCTTTAAGCTATTTATTTTCCCTCCATTTCTTTCCTTTAGAACTCTTATTTTACCTATAATGACATTTCCCCCCCCTTTTAGGTACTCTTGAAGTCCTTGTGGCCAAGCTATATTTTTCTGCCTGTTACTCTGCTTCTGAGTTTCTGTTTTGGTCATCTTTTGACCTGTATTCTTCATAGTATTTAGTGTCTTTTTTCCCCCCTCATATCTGCAATCTCAGTTCCTGATGTATGTGTGTGCGTGCACATGCATACACACACACACACACACACACACACACACACACACACAGTACACTAGGGCCAGGCTTTTCCCTTTCTCCCAACTCTTGGATGGAGTGGTTAGGCCCTTTTGATTGTGACCTTGATTTCTTGGCTTCCTGCCTTTGACTTCCAGAGGGCTGGCTGACTTTGTTATTCTTAGTTGAGAGACAGATCAGCATGTTTATAGGTAGAGGGGAAGGAACCAGTACAGAAAAAGAGATTAAAAGTGCTGTGGTGGGGATGATGAATGAAGTGAGGTTCTAGAAGACACAAGAGGCAAATAGAAGAGGATTAGTCTTGGCAAGGAGGAGGGGCACCAAAGTCTGTCAGACTAGAGAGGAAAAGATGGGTGAAAGAGAGAGAAGTTTTGTAGTACGGAGGAAGGGAGATGAGGAATCTCAGTCATATGGTCTTAGTCTTATCCCTAAAGTTGGAGATGAGGCCGTCAGGGAAAAGAATAGGTGCAGGTGAAATTTGATAGTGAAGGAGAAAGGAGAGAAAGCTTGAAATAGCCTGTGTAGGAGTGTATAAACCAGAGATCAATAAAAGATTGCCATACATTGGTGCCATGCAGTCAGAAGGGCAAATCATTCTCTAGTGAAAGTTGAGGGATTGAAATGGGAAAAGTTATACAATCTCAAGAGAGAAAAAATATTTGTTTGAAATTTGAAAAAGGCAAGTATAGGAAAAATTGATGGATTGATATAATATTAATTCTTTAACCTAGTGTCATACCAAATATGGGTATACCAAATGTGGGCTCAAATATGGCTGTTATTTCAGATTCTGAATCTGAAGAGCTTATATTTTTTATGATTTTTACGTTTATAGTTCTGTGAAGGTTTGCCTTCCCAACTTGGGACCAATGCTTTTTGAAAAGACAAAAACAATTTTTTTAAATGAGAAAATGGAATTGATTGAGCTATATGTTCTTTCAGAAAGGTGGCTTTGACAATTTTGAATAAAACATTACATTAAAAATCTGTGGATGTAATAGATAGATAGGTAGGTATAGATATAGCTTTCTTTAAAAAGTCAGAAAATCCTGAGTTTGAAAAAGAACACTTTGGCTGTTTCTAGAACACTTGTTTCTGAGTCTGTACCCTGAACTCTTCACCTTTTGGATGAAACCAGTCTCTTCTGACATTATTGGCAATTTCTCTTGTGGTATGTGCCAGTAAATTAAGCTCCCTCCTGGGTTTAAGCTGAATAGGAACAGTTTAAACTGTTCTTACATGTGCCAGTGCTACAGGCTTCTGAAAAATAGAACTTTCTGAAGTTGGAAATTTTCACTGTCTTAGAACTTTCATAGGTGTCATGCATTATTTTTAACCTGTTACATCATACAAGCTAAGGCAATGAATGGACAAAGAAACATTTTCTGGCTTCTGTTGTCTTTTTACAATTTGAGTGAAAGATCATTTCAGGACCAAAAGCACGCTTGAGGCTATTTTTACCATGTTTCTACCCCACAGTGTTACTGCACTGATTAAGACTGTGTACTTAAAGTGTTATTCAGAATGTGAAATGTACTTGTAGAAGGGATTTTATTAGAGCTGATTGGTCCCGCAGGTGTTATATAGGACTTTCC